TAGGGTATTTATTATAAATGTAAGGTAAGTTAAAGAACCATAAATGTAAATATAGTTATATTATTTTGATTTGATGATTTGATTGTAGTGGTATTCATTTATACCACACTAAAATGAAGATATTGTATTTATTGTAAATACAAGATAAGTTAAACGACAGTAAATGTAAATATAGTTATATTATTTAGATTTGATCGTAGTGATATTCATTTACACCACGTTAAAATAAAGATAGGGCATTTTTGTAAATGCATGATAAGTTAAAGGACCGTAAATGTAAATATAGTTATATTATTTTGATTTGATGGTAGTGGTATTCATTTACACCGCACTGAAATAAAGATAGAGTATTTATTGTAAATGTACCGTAAGTTAAATGACCATAAATGTAAATATAGTTATATTATATTGATTTGATTATAGTGGTATTCATTTACATTGCACTAAAATAAAGATATGGTATTTATTGTAAATGTAGGATAAGTTAAAGAACCGTAAATATAAATATAGTTATATTATCTTGATTTGATCGTAGTGGTATTCATTTACATCATACTGAAATAAAAATAGGGTATTTATTGTAAATGTAGGATAAATTAAAGGACCATAAATATAAATATAGTTATTAGTTTTACCTAATATTAAATGGAATGGTAGGGTCAATTGCACTCATAAAGAGAAATGGAAGGGGTGGGGAGTGTTATTATCATTTAATTTTATAAATAATTTGTAAATAAAAAATTAATTAAAATAGTTAATAAGGGCATAACATTCTTTTTAGGTCGGACTAATCGCACAACAAAAAGATGTAAAAAAAAGTTAGGGACTAACTCGTAAATTACCCCAAACCACGGGGACTATTTGTGTGTATATGTGTGTGTGAAAAAGTTGAAATATCAATATATTAATAAGGATCAAAAGTATCTTTGTTAAATAGAAAATGGTATAAATTGAAAATATGTTTTAACTATAAAGCGTAAAAATGTAGAAGTATTAAATAATTTTTAATCTTTGAATATATATATATATATATATATATATATATATATATATATATATATATAAAAAGAATGTTGTGCGATAATGTTAACTGGAAATGTCATTTCTTGGCTCAAAACATCATCTCAATTTGGGTTTTCTGTATGGTGGTTTTGACTTTAATTAATAAGGTGGTTTTGACCTAAATTTTGGGTGTGTTTAACAACACCCCAATCCTTAGGAACCAGACTCGACATGAGTATAGCATATCACCCTCAAACCGACGGGCAAAGCGAAAGAACCATACAGAAGCTGGAAGACATATTGAGAGACTGTGTGATAGACTTCAGTAAAGCCTGGGATACACATTACCGCTCATCGTGTTCTCATACAATAACAGTTATCACACTAGTATTAAGCTTGCTCCATTCGAAGCCCTCCATGGACACAAGTGTAGATCACCTATGTATTAGGCTGAAGTGGGTGACATATAACTAGCAAGAGGACAAGTGCCTAATAGCACACTCACCAGCCATGAGATCATACGGGAAACTACGGAAAAGATTGTTCAGATCCTGAACGATTAAAGGCATCCCGGGATCGACAACAGAGTTATGCAGATAAGCGGTTCAAACCCTTGGAATTCCAGGTTGGTGACCGCTTTCTGTTGAAGATCTCACTATGGAAGGGAATGATATGTTTTGGAAAACGTGGGAAACTGAACCAAAGGTATATTGTATCATTCGAAATCCTTGCGAGGATCGTCCCGGTAACTTACAAACTTTGACTACCACAGGAACTTAGTAACGTAAACCCCACCTTCCATGTGTCCAAAACAATTTTTCATTTTTCAAATAACATAAAACTCATTCAATATTCTCAAATTATCAAGTCTAACAAATGTCATCAAGATAAAACATACCCCAAGATCATAAAACAAATCTCCTGTCACTGTGTACGGATCATGTCAACGCCTTCCCGCGATCATCGCTAGTATCTGAAATAAATAATACATAACACTGTAAGCATAAATGTTTAGTGAGTTCTCCAAAATACCACATACAACACATACGCCACTCAAGGCCATAACTATATGGGATCTTCCGATCCATGCGTATGAGGGGACTTCCGTCCCAACTCTGGTAGACCTTCCGACCCTACCCGTATGACCTTCCGGTCCTCATCAACTTGACCTTCCGATCCATACACTATTGACCTTCCGGTCCATATCATGGTACTCATAACATAGCATAACACATAGATATCACATAGCAACACATATCCCATACTCCGCATAGCATATAAGACCGTTTGGTCACACATAGTTACCACTCTAGGTAAAGTATAGTGAGAAGACACAACTTGTATGTTGTCTAGTAACTCACGTGCTCGGTATCCCTAAACCTCGTAACAATGACCTAGCCCCGCCTAAACATATAAGCAATCATCTCAAATTAATAATGGCTCTCCAGGATAGACTAGTTCGCTCTAATGTTCTCTTAGAAGGCTAAAAATACCATTTTACCCTTCTACCCTTCTAATGGTCCAAAAGTCCAAATGTTGACCCAACCATAAAAGTCAACGAAATTCAATGGTCAAACTTTGACCAGACTCGGCGAGTGCACATAGGTGACTCGGCAGTCCAAGTGTATCCTCTGGATATTTCTAAACCTCACTCGACTCGTCAAGTGAACCTTCCACTCGACGGGTTACCACAGGTCATGAATCGTGGGGCAACACGAGTCGACTCGTCGTGTCCCCTTATGGACTCGGTGAGTTCCTTCCATGGCAACACTCAAATGACCTTCTGAGGTCAGATCTGCTTCTCTAACTAGTAGATCTAACCTTCTAGCACTCAAAAGTCAGGTAAAGGTTCAAACTTTATGTTCATGCAACACATATAAAGCCATAAATGGTGAAATAACCTTTAAAATGGTAACCTACTCTCAAACTCTCATGAAACAGCATAAAGCTGGAAGGTTGGAACTTTTTGGACCTCTCATGGTCCAGATCCAACATCTATACTACTTTAGGACAACACATGCTTCATAACCCAACTCAAAATGATGCAAAGAAACCCTAGATTCAAGAAATCTATCAAATACACAAAATAGGAAAGAATTTGTACCTCCAGAAGCGAATCTCTGAATGAATAACACAAATCTAAGCTCCATAATCGACCTAGCGTGGACTTTCCCACTCATTCTTGCAAGAACACACCAAAAAGGATGATGAATTTGCCTTTCCTTTGCTCTCTAAGCTCTCTTCGCTCTCTTGGGTTTTCTCAAGGTGTAAGTGACCGCAAATGAAGGTCATAAGGACCTTTAAATAGGTCCTAAACCCGAGAAATTAGGGTTTTTCTCGTCAGCACCGACTCGTCGAGTCAGATACCCGACTCGGCGAGTCCAGTCGCTAAAACGCATCAAAAGTCACAACCCTACTCGACGAGTTGAGGCACCAACTCATCGAGTCCCTCTAATAACTCCAAAAAAATTAAATGATTAAATAATCAAAATGGCATACCCACAATTCCGGATGATACAATTCTCCCCCAATAGAATCAGACTTCGCCCTCGAAGTGTCATTCTGCAAACTACTATGGATGTTGCTTCCGCATCTCCGCCTCCGGCTCCCAAGTCAACATGGACCCTCTTCGATGTTGCCATTAGACCTGAACCGGGGGCACCTCCTTGTTCCTCAGAACCTTGATCTTTCAATCCAAGATTGTGATTGGCTTCTCAACATAATTTTGGCTCGCATCCACCTGAATGTCCTCTAGTGGCACTATCGCAACTCGTCGGCTATACACTTCCTCAACTAAGACATGTGGAAGGTATCATGTATCTGGCTCAACTCCGCAGGTAGCTCTAAATGATACGCTACCCTGCCCACCCCTCGTGGTCACCCTGAAAGGACCAATGTACCGGGGGCCCGGCATGCCACTCTTCCTGAATCGGATCACTCCTTTCCAAGGAGATACCTTCAGGAGTATAGAGTCTCCAACCTGAAACTCAAGCTCGGATCGTCGCCTATCCACATAACTCTTCATGCAACTCTAGGTTGTCAGCAATCTCTGCCTGACCTACTAAATCTGCTCAGTCGTCTGAAGCACTATCTCGGTGCTACCCATCACTCACTGCCCTACCTCTCCCCAACAGATGGGATTCTGACACCTCCTCCCATAGAACAACTCGAAGGGAGGCATACCAATGCTCGAATGGTGGATATTGTATAGGAAAACTCAGCCAATAGTAGGTATGTATCCTAACTTCCTCCGAAGTCCAACACACATGCTCGAAGCATGTCCTCGAGTGTCTGAATTCTCCGCTCATTCTGTTCGTCTGTCTGTGGGTGGTATGCGGTACTGAAATGCAATCTCGTACCCAAATCCTCATGGAACTTCTTTCAGGACCTAGAAGTGAAACGTACATCTCGATCTGACACAATCAAAGATCGGTACACCATGTCATGATACCACCTCTCTCACATACATATATGTCAGCCTCTCTGCGGAAGAGCTCTCACTGATAGCTAGGAAGTGAGCGCTCTTCGTCAGCCGATCAACGATCACCCAAATTGCGTCAACACCCATCACAGTCCTCGGCAATTTGGTAATGAAATCTATATAAATATGTTCCCTCTTCCACTAGGGAACCTCAAGTGGCTGTAACTTGCCATGCAGACCCTAGTGCTCAGCCTTAACCCTTCGACAGGTCAAGCACCTCTCAACAAACCATGCACATCCCTCTTCATGCAGGGCCACTAATAGTCTCTTCTCATGTCCAAATACGTCTTAGTGGCCCCGGGATGGATTGAGAACCTCGATCTATGCGCCTCCTCCATCAAGATGGTATGCGCCCCCACCCGTAAACGGCACCCAAATCTGACCCTGAAAAATCATAATCCCTCGGCTATTGGTAACAAACTTCGATACCTGCCCAATCACTCACTCTCTCTTGCGGTTATCCGGTCTCAAGGCCTATTCCTGGGCCTCTCGAATGG